TGTTTTGTGTATGTGAATGTTCATATTTTTATGTATAATACTGTTTATTACTGGTTTTTATTTGCTCTATAATATGTTAGTATATATATTATATTTTAGTTGGGTTATAAAAAAGAAAAAAGATATTCGTATTGTACTCTACTACGAGCAATGCTGTACAGAACATTTTTTTTTTGAATAAACAAATCTTAAAAAAAACCCAAAACATTTATTTCCATTAAATCGCAGCCTTTTATGCGGTTAGGTAATCGCACAGCCTGACATCGCGATTGCATTTGCGATTAGATTAATCGTGCAGCACTACTTATAACAAAGGAATCCAGTGACTGAATCATTTCACCTTTAGCACTGATAAAATGACCAAGGTCCCTGATTAACTGTAAAACCATGTTACTCACTTGTTCCATTATTAGTTAAGTCCACATTAGCTGCTGGGTTTTGTTTTGCTTCTATTTGTTGGGTTGTTAGCCTACATGATTTTGGTCCGGTTAGTTTGAAAATGCATGTCAGCGACCTTGCTATTTATGCAAAGATGTTGGAGGTAAATAACATGCGTTGTCACTTATTATGTAATATAAGAGATGTAAGTCTTAGTCAGGCTCTGGTTATGGAAGCTCTGTTTACCTGAAGTGATGGAATGCCATTTAATGTTTTATTGTATAACATTAATGCTGGCTTGGAAGAAGTCAAAGCATTGATCAGAAGCTAGTGCAAATGTCCTTTTTTTAGCAATTGGTAATGGTTTGTATGTAATATAATGTGTATTCTTGGTGTTTTGAATTTGAAATCAGAATCATAAGCCACCAGCTGCACCCCTACTGAGATAAAAATCAAGGAAGCTGGAGCCACTCCTTATTCGCAAATAGCATCAAAAGTAGATTGAAGTCCAACTTGAAACAAACTCCAAGATCTATGCCCAGTGTTTCTGATGACAGTGTTAGAAGGTCGCGATCAGTCTGAAGGGTAAAAGTGAAGTCCTCTGTCCCCACTCGTCAACAGTTTTAAATATTTGCTCTTTATGTATGTTCTTGTTGACTGTTTTTAACCATTTCAAAAACACATCTATTGCAGTTATAATAAAGTTTTAAAGTCCCCCTTCACTCAAAAATATATTTTTCTTCTGTTTACATCGCCTAAAAGGTCTGACCTTGACTATACTGACTTGTATCTGAGCGAAGTTTGTTACCAGAGAGGTGTTTTTACGTTTCTCTACTGAGGGGACAATGTCCATGTACTTCCCTGAAATCTGAGATTCAAACATATATCGAGTCAACTAGATTGAGTATGTCATAAACAAAAGCCAGTCGCTGTCTAATAAGGGGAAGAAAAAACTTTGACACAACACTGGCAAAGAAACCTGAAACGTCCAGCGTAGAGCAGACTTGTCAGAACAGAGAGCAGAGTTAGCCTCAGCATAGTAAAAGTTTTGACAGCAAGCGTGGTAGAGAGTTCAGTTTTGGATGCAAACTGGACACCTGGAGCATCTTTCCTCTATCTACGGACAACCTTGAAAAACTTGAATTATTAGTGCTAAAAGGCCCTGATCATGTAGAAAGCGTTGGAGAGCTGGAGGCGCCTTTTTGTAATTGTTATAATGAGAATGAAGCTTTTTGCTTGTGGTTTTTGTGTTGCGACATGCCTCGTGTTTCTCGCAGCTCTAGGCACCTGGCATTTTTGCTGGAGTGCTCTGACCACCTCGAGTTGAAAAAACTTCAACTCAAAGCAAAAAAGGGCCCATTGTCCAATCCGATTGTTTGAGAGACGGGCCTTCTGTCGTGGTCACAACAACACGTTTACAGTTGATAAAGGATGGAGGAGAAACTGGTGGTAGTGGTTGCTAAATACCCAGAGCTATACAGCCCAATAATAGGCAGCAGGTTGTCAAACTGCCCCGAGTCATCCTGAAATATGCCTGGAAACGGTCATCATCGACGAGAAGCTCCTGGACCAACAGGTGGTACTCCCGGTGATCCACCCTCTTTTTTAGGGTCTCATGTACCCACACAGATCTCTGTTTCCCTGTGCCCAACAAACTATTTACTGACAGCCTCTCACCCTCAACTAGAGCTACAGCAAGTACCCTCTGATGTCCATTTTAGGAGCTAGATACTAATTACTGTCAAATAAATAGAATAAGATAAAATAAATAAACGGTAGATTGCAGTGCGGCACGCCTCGCAGTTTGCAACCTGTGATCGGGGCCTGAGACAGTGATCCCAGTCCCACAGTGATTCTTAGCGTCTCAGGTGTCCAACATGAGCACTGTAAGTTCAAAAAGTAACAGGTGGTCTTTATTCCTTGTTCTCTATCTGTGCGACGGACAGTTCTGAAGGATCGTCTTTCCTCTCTCACACTCTCTGCTGTGTTGCAGGTATGCTGCTGATGGGTTTCCTGCTGAGAAACATCCCAGTTATAACAAAATGGGTGTACATTGACTACAGGTGGTCTGCGTCGCTGAGGAACATCGCTTTGGCTGTCATTCTGGCCAGAGCTGGTCTGGGGTTGGATCCCACGGTATGCCTCACTATTGAAGCTTGATATCTGCACTCATAAAATGATGATGTACTTATCCCATCTCTGTGTGTAATCCAGAATTTCAAGTGATATGACATTGGGACAAGCAAGCGAGTCTGAGTGTAACCAGCAGAGTCATTTTCTCTGTCAATTTTCAGACGTTTCAGTCAGTTAATCAACAAATCATTCAGTGCCACCACGCATCACTGCATTTGTTAATCCTCTCTTTATGTCTGTTTAGAAGTTAATTAATTGCTGTAACAAACTCTTGGATGATGTATGTGTCTGTGTTGTCAGGCTCTGAAGAAACTGAAAGGCGTGTGTATACGCGTGGCATGTGGGCCCTGCATCATAGAGGCCTGCACCGTAGCTCTGGTGTCTCACTTCCTCATGGGCTTGCCCTGGGTGTGGGGCTTCATCCTTGGGTAAATACAACACTACACTCCCTCCCACTCTATCCTCACCTTCATTTTCTAATTGATATCAAGCTGTGTCTTCCTATTATGCCTCGGACAGACAGACACAGTGTTTGGATGAATCAAAAAGTTCATGAACCAGTTGTTTATTAAATATATTTACCACGTCACTTTTAACATTATGTTTTGCTCCTTCTTTTTAATTATTATTAAATAGCTTGACAGTGAGGACACAGACAGGGAATGTAGGGAGAAAGTGTGCTTTTTAAGATTATAAAACTAATCAAAGAAAAACAGACAGTCTTCAGGCACTCTTTTGCAGTGCGAAGGGACAAGTTATATTAAAAGCCTTAATCTGCATAGTTAAGACCAGGAGCCCTAAACGTTCTTCAGGCCAAGGACCCCTTAGCTAAAAGAGAGATGGAGCATGGACCCTACAAATATTATGTAAAATTGTGTTACATCTTGAGCAGATGGAGGTTGTCAGGCAGAGGGCCATGTCCACCTCAAGCTGCAGTCTTGAGCTGTATTTGCTTGTCAGGTAGGTGAGGGAGGAAACTCCACTTTCACAAGGATAAGTTGTTTCAAAAGGCAAAATATATTTGATTCATGTTAATGTGTATTTTCAGTCATGTAAATGGTCAAACAATAAATTTACAGCCCTCTTGCAGTAACTCTGAGGACCTCCCGGGGGTCCTGAACCCACTGTTGAAGATCCAGGGTTTAGACGCAGACTGATTTCAACTTCACAGGGTCTTGTTTTTTAAAAGTTCCTAACAGAAATAAAATAAATATCTTTTAAATGTACAACATGCTTCTATATCTGCTGTGTGAGCAGTTCAGTTTACTCCTCTGAGGCAGGAACCAGCAGAGAGAGAATGTCAAGACATGGAAGGCTGAATTCTGATGACAAAGTTAGACTAATGCTGTGCAACACACTACATACCAGGGCTGGGAGATATGGTATTCACAGGCTGACTGGCGATACACAATATATATCTCAGTATTTTCTACAAAATGGGCGACAGGTTTTCAGTTGCAAGTCAAAGCCACATTTGAGATGTCACAAGCAGTTTTATAAAAACAGACCATGATCAAAATAAGATGCAAAGACAGGTTTTTCCCCCCTATTTATAAATATGCAGCTGCACAACAGTTACAGCTCCAAAGCACTAGTCGGCAGCGGGAGTGCTGTAAAGTTTAGTTGATTCGAAACACACATTAAACATGGCTTAATAGCAGCAATTTTAAACACACAAAACGGCTTCACTATAACTCGCGGCATTCACAGACAAAGCATTTGTCTTTTGCTGGACACATTTTCCCCAAAAATACAACACGCTAATGTTTTTAGCACAAGCCTATGGCATTTTACATTGTATAAATTAGCCTAGCAGCTATCAAACTTTTCCTTTACTCATATAAACAGCAAGATTTAACAAAGGTAATGTTCCAAATTTGGCTCCATCACAACTCGCAAGGTTCACCGACAAAACAGCTGTCTTATACTTAACACGTTTTCCAAACAAATATATCAATCTAATGTTATTAGCACAAGCCCATGGCATTTTACATTGTATAAATTAGCCTAGCGAATAGTGGCGATTTCCTCTGCTCATATGAAGCCAGGATAAATCACAAGACTTAAAATGCTATTTTGTGGAGGCTTTATCATCCTCACAATTTATTGTTTCTTATCTGTGAAATTAAAGTAAATAAAAGCTTTGTTTCCACTGAGGGCAATGGTTTCAGTTTACAAAAATAGACAGGAGGTCTGCATTTCTGGGGAGGTGCACGTCAGGCTACGGCTCTACAAAGTGTTGCTTAGGAGCTTGTGAGTTAGTGAGTGGGGCGAAGCTGTGCAGTAAAATGATAATCATTAGAGAATCCAGATTGTTGTGTCAAATCAGGCCTGGTACCACATCTCAGCTACAATACAGTACAAACTACATATCGTGCTTCGGGAATGCCTCCCTGTCACACATCTCCATGTGTATTGAAAGGCTGATGATGCTTTCCAAAGTTTTCTAACAACTTTTCTCTTGTTTGCTTTAATGATCCATTTCCTCCATGTTGCAGCTTCGTGCTGGGAGCTGTGTCTCCAGCAGTGGTGGTTCCCTCCATGCTGCTGCTGCAGAAGGACGGTTACGGCCTGGAACAAGGCATTCCCACCCTGCTGATGGCTGCAGGCAGCTTTGACGACATCCTTGCCATCACAGGGTTCACCACATGCTTGGGCATGGCCTTCGCCACAGGTAACCTCTGGATGTATGTGTTTGCGTGTGTGGAGAAGGGTGAAGGAAAATACAGAAGTGCTGACTTCCATGTTCTTTTTCTTGAAATGCAACACCACCTTATCTCCAGGGGAGTGGCAGCAGGTTCAGTGTACTGAAGAGTAGGTCAACACAGAGAGGCATGTGAAATAAGTAACTCCTGAATGTAGTTTGTCAGGAGCTCAGCAGAGGGTGTGAGTGTGCTATTTAAGCTTGTTAAAAACACAGAAGGGTTTTTTGTGCCAATTCACCGTGCATGTTGTGCTTCATGACTCCAGTTTACCACAATGCAGAGTCTCTGTAGGGCCATTAACTGTGTTTAAAACACATTTAGGACTGCTTTCTATGACAGTTGGTTCAGTTTACGCACTTACTTACTAATGATTGTGTATCTTCTCTGCTGATCTCTCCAGGCTCCACTTGGTACAACCTTCTGAGAGGCGTACTGGAGGTTGCTGGTGGGATGGTTGCTGGGCTTCTTCTTGGCTTCCTCATCCAGTACTTTCCTAGTGTTGACCAAGTAAGCATGTCCTTGCAATGTTACCATGATATCAGCAAGTTTCACTATTGCATAGTCGTGCTCACACCTCTTGAAACCACAGCCTGTGTGTGAGAACAACTCAAGAAGAGCCAACAAAGGCTTCTGTAAAAATTCAGTGAAGTGTACTTGATATGTTAAACTCTGAGGACTTTTGATGAGAGCACTTTGGATTCATCTAAGTGGGGAAGTTTACAGGGATATAATGGGAGAGATGTTTCTGTGGGTCATGACATTTCTTGCGTAACAGATATAACTGAGCGATCTCAACTCCATCCATGTTTTCAGTGGCCTGTCAGACTCGTTGTGAATCAGTCTAGTTTAAACAAAAGTAAACTAAAAGTAAAATGTCATGACCTGCCAAGAAGTGTGCAAGTTTCATAATATTAAAATATTCTATATTGAAATCATTGACTGTCTTTTCACCTAGAAACACATAGTAATGAAGCGATCCTTTCTGGTGCTGGGTCTGTCCGTGTTTGCCGTGTTCGGCAGTGGTGTGGCAGGGTTTCCCGGCTCTGGAGGCCTCTGCACCCTGGTCTTGGCATTCCTGGCCGGCCTCGGCTGGGGGTCAGAAAAGGTAACAACATATGCCTGCTATGTCGCACATACAGATGTTTTTCACTTCTCTATTTGCAGTTCTCTATCTTCAGAGCTGAATATTGATGAGATACACTCAGGAGAGAGAGAAATATTTTCCCACAGTACATTTTTTAAGCATACTATTTAGTAACACAGCAGTTTGTACAGCAAGTTATTCATCATCTACGCTGCTGCATGTCAAAGATAACCTTCCTAAACCTTTTTGTGTGTTCTGTTTGTCTTAAGGCCCGTGTGGAGGAAGTGGTGGGGTGGGCATGGGACGTGTTTCAGCCTCTCCTCTTCGGACTGATAGGAGCAGAAATTCGAATCTCTGAGTTGGAGGGATACACAGTTGGTGAGAAGATCACACACATACACACACGTAATACCACAATGAGGTAGCTGTTATCACTGTGAGACATTCAAATGTAGCTTTGTGGATTTAAATATATTTCCATAGCCAAAAAAAGCCCCAGGAGATTTTTATCTCTCTGTATGTGTACAGTAAACACAAAAAAACCCTGAGTACTCCATTATACTGCATTTCAACAGGGTGTCTGCTGGTCCTTAAAAAGCCTTTAAAAAGCCTTATTCAATTAAAAAAGGGCATTAAAACTCACAAAAAGTCTTAAATTTGAATTTTAGAATTCTTTAATTGACACACACATTTTATCTAATTTTATGTATCCATATTTTAATTTCTTTTTGTCAAAATAAGTCGAGCTGTTCTGCATCAACGTCCACATTTCTGATGTACAAATCACTGAACCTAATACTGTCTTTTCACTTGACACTTGCACTCACCTGGCAAAACTTAGATTACTGAACTCACTCTAATAACCATATTCCTATGTAAAACCAACCTCTGTGCAGGCCCACATATATCTACTTGTTTTTACACTTACACACAGTCTTAAATTTGGTTAAAATTATCCTAAAAGGTCTTCAAAGTCATTCAATTTAAGTGTCTGATAGCTGTAGGGACGCTGCCTCCATAGAAGTTCCCATATGGGATTTCAATTTTAATTCGATCAAAATGAGCTTTTAATTGCCATTAGGGCTGGGTGATATATCGATATAGGGTCAAGTTGCGTTATATATCGCATACCAGTGTTTATCTCTCCTCTCTCACACACTCCGCACAGCTCCGCCCCACTCACTCACTCACAAGTTTTCCAGCAACACTAACAGAGACACAGCGCGACTCCTCTGTTTAATCTGTCTGTTCATTAGGCTACAGTGTGACATCCGTCTGTATGTTGCACATGCTTCACTAATCAGTCTGTGAGATGAATGAAATGACCGCAGCACATGTGCAGTCCAGCGCTGCTAGTTTGTGTGTGAGGTGGGTCATAGCGTGTCGCTGTTGTTCTTGGTAGTTGTAGTCTGTTGTGTGACATGGTGACAGCGCCTGGATGCAGGTGACATCTGTTAAAAAAATGCAGCGACAACACAGACATTTCATGTACAAGACGTATATAACCTCGGCCTCTCTGGTGAAGCTTTGTGTGCATAAGTAAGATTAAGCCTAAATAAATAAAAACGTTTATATAATTTTCCAGCACTTGATTCATTTGAAAGGCCAACAGATGGAAAACGACTTTATAACTCCCCCACAAAGATCTTTAATTGTGTCAAACTACTTCTTGATACTTTTATACTCATGTTATAGTTTTGTGTCCTGTGCTGCAAACCTCTGTAGCTCCAGTGCTTTGTGCAAAACGCTAATGTACAGCTCTGCTGTTTATTTTATATAGTTTTTCATTTACATGTTGTGCAGCTACATATTTTACAGGGTAAAAAAAAAATCCCTGTCTTTGCATTTTATTTTGATCACAGTCTGTTTTTATAAAAGTGCTTGTGACATCTCAAATGTGGCTTTGACTCGCAACTGAAAACATGTCGCCCATTTCGTAGAAGATACAGAGATATACAGTACAGGCCAAAAGTTTGGACACACCTTCTCATTCAATGCGTTTTCTTTATTTTCATAACTATTTACATTGTAGATTCTCACTGAAGGTATCAAAACTATGAATGAACACATGTGGAGTTATGTACTTAACAAAAAAAGGTGAAATAACTGAAAACATGTTTTATATTCTAGTTTCTTCAAAATAGCCACCCTTTGCTCTGATTACTGCTTTGCACACTCTTGGCATTCTCTCCATGAGCTTCAAGAGGTAGTCACCTGAAATGGTTT